AAGTTCTCTGGACAATCCTTGGAGTTGTTCAATAAAATTTGGACACAAAGCATATAACACCAGAATAATGACACTCACCAAAAATCACATCAAAATACCAAGAATTCGAATTTTAATGATTTTTTGAAGTTTCTGCCCAAATTTTCAAATCGATATTTGGCATAGATACAGATATTATTTCGACCTACAAATTTTACACAACATAGCATACCAATAGAGGGTCATACAGTCCAAATTGCACAGCATTCGGACGATCGTGCAATTTATGGTGATTTTAACAAAATTCAGCAGCATGACTCGATTCAAAAATACATACATGACCACATACTCAACAAAAATGTCTAAGGCCTTCACCATGCGGCCAAAGACTTAAAATGTTCCAATATTCAACAACCCTAATCACGATTTACCAATAATTCACATGCTATCACATATAACGAATATATCTCAAAATAAAACAATCATATCTCAACCCTAACATGCAAATCTCTTCCAGGCTTAGTACGTATCATATATTCACATAAAAGTAAGAGGGTTTTATCAACCTTGTACCGTTCTCGAGAGATTCGCACAAAAGGGGTCGAACGGGGCTAAAGCGGTACGCTCGGTAGCAAGGTTTGGTTCGCGCGGACCGCGGCTCGAATGGACGAACAACAACAACACGCGGACAGGGGTGCTGCGAGTAACGTTTTCTCACAGTGGTACTTGAACAGCGACGATGGGCCACGATGCGCACAGGGACGCGATGAGGAAAAACGGCGAGGGACTCAGGCCAGAGTGCGATGGTGCACGCGAGTAGCAGGGCGATACACACCAGGGTCGCAGAAGGCAGGGTCACACTGGGGCTGCGATATGCAAGCAGGTCGATGGAGGTGAGCAGTGACACGTGATGCCTGACGCGGTGGAGCACAACTGCGATGGTGGCGAGTGACGGTGGAGGGCGATCAGATGGCGAGAGAAAAGAGATGGAGTTGGCGAGAGATTGAGAGAGATTGAAAGGGATGATGATGACTGCGGTTTAGAGACGAGCTGAGGGAATTATCTCCTCTATTTATAAGGCTAGGTTAGGATGCCCTAAACCTAACTTACCTTACTTGATCATCAAGCCAAAAAGAGGAAAGAGGGGCGCCAGACATGGGGCGCGGGTCGGCCTTGGGCGCACGACACACTGGGTTTGAATGGCTCGACCGGAAACTCGGTTAACACTTAGGAAAAATTATCGGGCTCGGTTCGACGCAAAAATAAATTAAAATAATACTTGGCAATTATATTTATAATCCACATTTTTTTTATTTGTATTTTATACATGTTAAATACATAAAAAATATTTAGGCAATTAGACAATTAGACACAATAATAATAATAATAATAATAATAATAATAATAATAATAATAATAATAATAATAATAATAATAATAATAATAATAATAATAACAATAACAATAATAATAACAATGATACTAATAATAATAATACAAATGGGCAAATGATAATAATAATATATCAATAAAATCCCAAATAATTCTTATTCAAAAGGGGCGTTACAATCTACCCACCTAACAAAGAGTTTCGTCCTCGGAATTCAAAATAAATAAAAATCTAGAAAGCGATAAAATACAAGAGGAACTCAGAACTCAAAGTTCGGATAACGTCTCCTAATATCGTCCTCCCTCTCCCAAGTCGCCTCAGACTCATTGTGTCGGCTCCACCGCACCTTCACTAAGCTCACTGTTCGGTTCCTCAGTTGATGGACCTTTCGGTCCAAGATGGCTGTCGGTACCTCCTCGTAGGTAAGGTCTCGCTCGACCTGCAGCTCGCCGAAGTCCACCACATGATCAGGATTATGCACATACCCCCGAAGCATCGAGACATGAAACACATCGTGCACACCCGACAAGTCTGGTGGTAAAGCCAACCGATACGCCAAGTCCCCGACTCGATCTAGGATCTCAAACGGCCCGATATAGCGAGGTCTAAGTTTCTCCTTCTTCCCGAAGTGAATCACACCTCTCATGGGTGAAACCTTCAAGAAGACATGATCTCCCACTGCATAAACATGCTCTTGCCTCTTCCGGTCGGCATAGACCTTCTGCCTCTCCTGGGCAGATCTGATGGTCTTCCGGATCTCTTCAACTTTCGCCGCAGTACTCTGGACAAACTCTGGACCCATAATCCTCATATCTCCAACCTCATCCCAATACAAAGGAGTCCGGACCTTACGTCCGTACAAAGACTCATACGGGGCCATCTTAATCAAAGAGTGGTAGCTGTTGTTGTAGGTCAGCTCGACTAGCGGAAGGGCATACTCCCAAGTCAGGCTTCGGTCCAAGACCACAGCCCTCAATATATCCTCCAAGTACTGGATTGTACGCTTCGACTGACCATCTGTCTCGGGGTGAAAGGCTGTACTAAACTCCAACCTCGTCCCCATGGCTCGATGCAACGTCCTCCAGAACTGGCATGTGAACTTAGGATCTCGATCAGAAACAATCTCCACGGGTAACCCATGAAGCTTTACAATGTCCTTGACGAACAATTCAGCGTAATCACTCGCCTTCATGGTCGTCCGGACTGGCAGATAATGGGCAGACTTCGTAAGGCGATCCACTATCACCCAAATCAAATAATGCCCAGCCCTCGACCTCGGCAGTCCCACCAAAAAATCCATGGTGATGCACTCTCACTTCCACAAGGGAACCTCAAGGGGCTGCAACAATCCTCTCGGTTTCTGGTGCTCAGCCTTCACTTGCTGACACACCAGACACCCATCCACGAACTTCGCTACCTGCCTCTTCATGCCTCGCCACCAGAAAGACTTTCTCATGTCCTGATACATCTTCGTGCTACTAGGATGGATGGTGCTCGGGGCGCTATGGGCCTCCCTCAAAATCTCCCTTCGCAGTTCCCACACCTTCGAAACACAAAGTCTACCCTCGAAGACCAACGCCCCATCAGATGCGACTGCGAATCCACCAACTCTACCAGCTTCCGACAACTCTCTCATTCGGCATAAGAAACAATCATTCGGCTGCTCGGCGACTCTCCTCTCACGAAGAGTCGGTCCCACAACCATGACGGTCAACATACCCCCGACTGCTGAAGTCGACTCTACTGCCTCTAGCTGTAGTCGCTCGAACTCCCGAAGGAGGACATCCTGCTCGGTGAATAAGCAAGATAGCTAGAAATAACTCCTCCGACTAAGGGCATCGGCTACCACATTAGCTTTCCCAGGATAATAGCTAATGGTGCAGTCGTAATCCTTGACCAGCTCCAACCACCTATACTGCCGCATGTTCAGCTTCTTCTGAGTGAAAAATGTACTTTAGGCTCTTGTGGTCGGTAAAGATCTCACACTTGCCTCCATAGAGGTAGTGCCGCCAAATCTTCAAGGCATGGACGACAGCAGCTAACTCGAGATCATGAGTGGGGTAGTTCTGCTCGTGAGGCTTCAGCAACCTCGAAGCATAGGCTACGACTTTCTCCTGCTGCATAAGGACACATCCCAAACCCATCTTTGAAGCATCACTATAGATGGTGAACTCCAAAGTAGGGTCGGGTATGGATAGGACAGGCGCGGTACTGAGTCTCCTCTTCAACTCCTGGAAACTCTCCTCTCACTTAGGACTCCAAACGAACCTCACGGCCTTCTTCGTAAGGTTGGTCAGTGGTTGGGCTATCTTCGAGAAGCCCTCGATAAACCTCCTATAGTATCCTGCTAACCCCAGGAAACAACGAACATCCGCGACACTTCTTGGGGTATCCCACTTGCTCACTACCTCAGTCTTGTTGGGATCCACCTCAATGCCTCGAGTTGTCACAATGTGGCCAAGGAATGTCACACGGTTCAACCAGAATTCGCACTTCTAGAACTTAGCATACAACTTCTCGCGGCGAAGAGTCTCCAGCACAATCCTCAGATGCTCCTTGTGCTGGTCGATATCTCGAGAATAGAACAGAATGTCGTCGATGAACACAATGACAAACTGGTCCAGAAAGGGATGAAAGACCCTATTCATAAGGTCCATGATAATGGCTGAGGCATTACTGAGTCCGAACGGCATTACCACAAACTCATAGTGGCCATAGCGGGTACAGAAAGCAGTTTTAGAAATATCTGACTCCCGGATCTTCAGCTGATGATAGCCAGAACGCAAGCCAATCTTTGAGAAGACGCTGGCTCCTCTCAGCTGGTCGAAAAGGTCCTCGATACGGGGAAGGATATACATGTTCTTGACTGTAAAGGCATTCAACTCCCGATAGTCAATGTACATGCGCATCGATCTGTCTTTCTTCTTCATGAATAGAACGGGCACACCCCACGGTGAAACACTCGGACGAATAAAACTGAGTTTGAGCAATTCTTGGATCTGGGCCTTGAGCTCATGAAGCTCCTTCAGCGCCATGCGATAAGGGGCCTTAGAAACGGGGCCGGCTCCCGGGACTAGGTCAATGGTGAACTCCACCTGGCAGTCGGGCGGTCCTCCAGGCAAATCATCAGGAAAAACGTCGAGGTACTCGCAAACGATGGATACTCTCTCGGGTACTTACTCATCAGCAATGTCGGACACCAAGGATACGAGGTAGCCTTGACAGATACCCTTGGAAAGGCTCTTCCTAGCTTGCATAGAATAGATGACTCGAGGCACAGTCCTCGACTTCACCCCATAGAACACAACAGGCTGATCAGAATCAGGAAAGATGGTGACTTCGCGCTCCTGGCACCGGATATCGGCTCGATAGCGGGTGAGCCAGTCCATGCCCAAGATCACGTCAAAGTCTCGCATTTCAATTATATAAGCATCAACAATCAGAACTCGACCGCCAATAGAAACAGGAAGATCACGAACCAAAGAATCGGAGACAATAATTTTTTTCGAGGCTAAACTAACCCCGAGAGGATCACAAGGACTCACAGTGCTAATAGGTAATGCCTCCAAGCAACGAGAAGAGATAAAAGAATGGGTAGCACCGGTATCACACAATGCAAAGACAGACACGTTGGAGATAGAAAGCATTCCAGACATAGTACCTGTGTTGCGGGCAGCCTCATCGTGGGTAATGGTATAGACTCGGGCCTGACCCCCAGCCCTCTGTTGGAATGGTGGGGGCTGCTGCTGCTGATGTGGTAGCGGTGGGGGAAGCTACTGCTGTTGCTGAGGGTAGGCGGTTGTTGCTGCTGCTGTCTCTTCGGCTCACGGCAGACATTGGCATAGTGACCCGGACGGTAGCAGTTGAAACAAGTGCGCTGGTTAGCTAGGCACTCGCCGCTGTGGGATTTGCCGCATCTCGGGCAGGCTTGGTTGACGGAGGAACGGTTGTCGCATTTTTCGAAATTCCCTTTCTTTCCCTTCTTCTTGTTCTGGAAATCGGACTTCCTCTTGCCCGAACTAGAGCTGGGCGGCACAGATAAGATGGGCTGAGCATGCTGAACAACGGTATGAGAAGGCTCGGAGGCATGATAATATAAAGGAACCTGAGCTATCGGGATGAGACAGCTCTCCACCTCCTGAGCCCGACTCACAATGTCGGCGTAAGACATTAGTCCGTGACTCCCCACCAGTTCACGGATCCTCTGATTGAGCCCCTTGAGAAACTTGCGGGCCTTCTTGGCATCGGTATTCACCGAGTCGCCAGCAAAAAGACACATCCGGGTGAAAGTGCGAATATACTCGTCCACAGTGGAGTTGCCCTGTTGCAGATGGTAGAACTCATGCTCCATCCGATCCCAAAAACTCTGGGGAAGGAACGTGCCGTGCACCATCACTTTCATCTGCTCCCAAGTGAGAGCATTAAGCTCCGCCTCTGGCCTCCGAGCCCAGTGGTCAATCCACTAATCGGAAGCATCCTCCTTCATCTAATAAGCTGCGAGAGATACACGCTGTCGGTCCGGGAGAGGGAGCACAGCGAAAATCTTATCCAGCTCCTTGATCCATTCCAGTACAGCTGTGGGGTTCTCAGTCCTCGTGAAAGTCGGCGCGTGCATGTTCTGGAATAGAATTATGAGCCGAGTAAGGTCCATGGCCGGAGGGGCCTGGTGATGATGAGGAGGTGGAGAAGGAGACTGGGATGGTTGGCGGTTACGGTTGTTGCGGGTATTCATAGCTCTACATTGAATAAGCCGAACAAAGTTTAGCACAAAACAAAAAAAAAATTCACAATCACAGAAGTCTAGAGTTCACCATTAAACAATAGAGTTCGATTAAATTAAGGTGGATAGATCCTAAGCCCCAAATCACAAGTTCAACACAAGTAGTTTCATTGCCACATGAGTACTGTTTACATATCAAGTATTTTCATTAATACTTAAATCAACATACCTTAAGCAACGCGACGTAACTGAGACGAGTGGTCATATTACAAGGTCTAAACACATAATCACACATAAACCAGTCTACAGAAATGCAGACTGGCTCTGATACCAAACTGTAACACCCCACTTTGATTTTACAGAAATTCCGGACTTTTCAAAAATCAGTAAACAATTTTTCGAGATCATTTTCGAAATCCAATGGGTGTTAAACAACATTTTTCATAACCCAAGTCTTATCTGGGCCCACGGGGATTCAATACTCAGTTTTCACAAGGTTTTCATTAACCCAAATCATATCACATGACAAAGTACTCAACATGAATATTCAAACCTCATAAAACCAAACACCATAATTTCAACAATAAGGGTTCATCAAGTATTCCCAACATCAAAACAAATCATAAGTTTTGAAAAAAAGTTTTCACAAGCCTCAACATAAAAGGTTCCACAAGACCTCATTTATTCTAACGGAAGCGAAATAAATATGCATAATTAAAGGACCGACCCACTCGTCTTTCCTCGTCACCCAGCACCGACTTAACCTGCATCCGTGAAGAGAAGGTGGGGATGAGCACAAGATAAAAATGAGTGCTCACCACTATGCACGTATATCACAATAATAAATAATTTAAAGAAGGTATGGTCGCAGCATGAACATAAATCAATTATTCTGTCATTAGCCACGGAAAGGGGATTCATTACCCTAACTCATGGGGGTACGTGCCATACAACAAGACACGGCCTTTCATTAGGTCTTACGGAGACATACCTCGCAAGGGTAACCGTATTAC